AAAAAAAAAAAAGATTCTTAACGCTTAATACCTTGGTGAAGATTCGCCGTCAATAATTTCGTCGGTTTTCAGGTCTTTCCAGGTGAGACTGTACAAATCCTCTTCGCTGTGATTATAAATGCAAACAATTGACAGTTGTTGGCCTTTTCTTGCCGCATAAATATTTTCTTTTTTTGGCGGATAAAGGGCAAGTCTGTTATCATCCTCTAAACCTACAAAACAAAAAAGAAACTGAAAATTGGCAACCTACAACACTTTAAAAATGGAAGAAGAAAAGGAAAAAATGAAATAGAACTAATAATAACCTAAAGTATTGTTTTCCACTTTTGCTCCCCCAACAAACTGATCTTTAAATATGGTTTACTCATTTCTTTGCTGGAATTAAAAACAAAAAAAAAGAAAAAAATTCACAATTATTTTCGATGAGCAAAAGACTAATTAATAATGCCTGAATGAGTGCAAGATGACCAAAAATGATGTATTCTTTGCTGAAATAAACGTAAAGTGGAAATCAACAAGCAAAAAAAATTTGGAAAGCTTCAAAATCATAAGTTTTTCAAATGTTTTTCAAATATTTGAAGAAAAAAAAAATTTTTTTTTCTTTCCTCTGCAAAATCACAAATAAGAGGCAAATTTTGGATTATTATTTTCCGTAAGAAACAAATAGATTCTGCTAGAAAACACTCTTAACAAATTTTGGTCAACTGGTCATCAAGCTGTCCAAAGAACAAAGCAGCAAAGTGAAGTGGCTTAAAAGACAAAACACTTTTACAGCTATGATTAAACAACGAATACATCCGGTCAGTTTATCAGTCTAGAGCAACCCAGTTGCTCAAAAGAAAAAAAAATTTACTAGAAATAGAACAGCATGACAAGAAAACTAATGATAATCCTTTCAAAATCTGGTCTTAAATATTTGCTGCAGCTAAAATCTACCGATATGAGTACTAGTTTAGACATTAATCTATAGTCCGTCGAGCAGCAGCAGCATCATCATCATCATCAACTAATAATTATTCTAACAGTATCAGTAAACCAGTATAACTGGACAAAGATTCAGAATGCCAGAATCCTGCACAGCAAAAACCTAAATCTGTTTTTTTGTTTTAAACATTATGTCATGCAGATGATGTGCTGGTTGGTGAACTGAAAACTTTATGAACCCAGCGAAACACCAAATTAAGCTCGACAGTCGAAAAATTTTTATACTTAATCGGATAAAAAAAAAAAAGCAGTCCTTCTAAAAATATTTTAATTGCTATTCTTATTCTTCTTCTTCATATTATTATTATTATTGCTATAACTATCATAATAATTATTAATTATCATTATTATTATTACTATTATTAACTACTATTATAATTATTAATTGCTATTATTCTTATTACTATTATTATTGTTAGTATTATTGTTCGTACTGTTATTTGTACAAACGGAAGCTGAGGCATAAAAAGTGGAAAAAGAATGACCAAAAAGAATATGAAATTACAAATATAAATTTTGTACGGCATATCTAAGTGTAAACTAAAACATTTTCTTTTTTTCTTTTTCTGCACAGATATTTATTGTTTCAGTTTTTTATGCTTTAATTTTGTTGTTAAAAAACAGGCCTTTTTTTTCTCTTGGCAATACTGAGTTATAAATTGTAAACAAAAATAAAGCGTTGATAAGGCTGAGTACGAAAAAAGATATAATAGGTTAATTTTGAACTTAGCAATAGTTCTAAAAAATAGAGACCAAAAAACGAAACCATATGTTTTGAAGCTGCTTTTGAAACAAAAAATTCAGTATCATTTTTGTTTTCTTTGACGCAATGAGAAGCAATAAAATTTATGGGAATCATATCACTAAGATGTTTTATTCTTCCAACATTCCAAAATCCCCGAATCTAAAAGTTGTCCACAAAAAAAAAGCGTTTGTTTACAGTTTTGCTGTTTACAGTATAGCTTTCGTGTTTCTTCACTTTTTTTTTTTGTTGAAAATGCAACATTGAACAACAACAACAACAACGGAAACAGAAAAAAAAATGAAAAGAAAGATGGTCCCAAAAATGTCATCAATTTTAACTGCTTTGGTTAAAAATTGTTGGTAACACAGAAAAAGTGCAGTTTTTTGGCCATTAAAATACACATCGTCTTAACTGCCACCGACTGTTTGTTCATCTTCACAACGGGTGGTGGTAAGTTGAAAGCGATTAGTCAGCTTAATTTTTTTTCTCTTAATAGATCATCAGTCAGCCATCCTTCTTCAGTCAGTCAAACTCAGTTAGAGCCAATCCAGTATGTTTAAGTGCAAAAAATACCACCACCATGGAATATAATTTTTGAAGTCTAGTTGGTATTGCTTTTCATAAACACCCATCTGTAACTGTATTGGCAATAACAACTATCCTAAGCAAAATAAAAGAAACTAAAATTCTTTCAACAATTTTCTTGTCTTCTTTTCTACAATCCTCCTAAATGCACAAATTATGATCGTTTTCTATAGTACTAGCAAAAGGCATGAATAAATACTATGGTAAATACATAAAACTATGGTTAAACTATTGACAAACTGCTATTTTAATACACCACAAAAAAAAACACCCTTTTATTCTCATCCATTATCTTCTTATAGAACAAAGATGAACAATGCAGTGGTAAACAGACATTTCCGGTTTTCTAATAACTTAGCTGTTTTTTTTCCATCTTTCTATTAAATTTATATCCAATTAATTTCAATTCTATCCATCACTAATCTAATGATAAAATTTTGGTTGTTCAATAACTTATAAAGCTTCTTTTCAACAGTAAATAATGCTGCTGTAGCAGCTCGCAGAAAACCTTCATTCTCGTCTTCCTTTTTTCCCCTTTTTTTTTTTGGGGGGGGGGGAGAGAAAGGGAGTAAAGGGTTACTTTTCTCTTCGCTAAGGAAGTTCTCTGTTGCGCTACTGCTGTTGCTGCTGTAATTTTTTTCAGAATTTTATTACATCTTACCTTTTCAGATACTATTCAAAAGCCTTTTTTAAAAGCCTTTTACTAATGTGCCTTCAAATATTACTATGCAATTTAACAATGTAATTCCAGCAGCAAAAGTTTTTTTCCATCTCGCATTTTTTTCTTTTAGATTCTAAAACCATTATTTAAAGACCATTTCTTTTTTTTTTCAGTGGTATTTGTTGTTTCCTTCTCTCTCTCTCTCCCTTGTTCTTCTTTGCTTTAAGTTTTCCAAAATTGCTCATAGCTTAAGCCAAATAAAGAACAATAGTTTGCCAAAATGATAAATAGCCGTATTGTTGCCAAGAAAAGAAGGGGAAAAAAATCGACAACTATGAAAAGGAGCAAAAATTAGCAAAAACTGCTTAGTTGCACATTTGCACCCTTAACATTACTGCTGCTGTTACTACTACTGATACTGTTGTTGCAGCAACGGACATGAAAAGATGGATTGAATGTAAAAAAAAGTAAGAAAAAAAATGGTAACAAAACAAGAAGAAAAGGAAAAAATGTAAATTCCAAAGAAACAATATTGAAAGATGTATAAAGGAATGACATTGATCACTTTTTTCTTCTTTATCTTCTTTAC